TGAAAGTCAGTAACAGAGCCAAAGACCAAAGTCAAACTGCCTGCTCCAAGAACTTCCTTGATCCCCACAATATTTTCCCCATAATCAGAGGCCTTGGGGCTGAGCTGAAAGGATTCCAACCTCATCTTTGCAGGGGCCACCGGACTCACAGTGTCAGACAGCAGAAGTAGGGAACAAGCTGCCGTATGTATACTCCATCCCTCACTTCCCCCAAAAGTTGTTGCTTACTTTTTATCACCTCATTTCTCACTCATGGCAAACCTGTCTGTTACAGAATAGAGTTACTCCATTGGATTTCTTGATTATATTCTTAACAAAATTCAATTGCTAGGCTTATCTTTCATGGCATCAATGGGTGGATTCAAGCCAAAAACCTTTACAGTAACAATTGAGCACAAACTGTTTTCACAACCTTGAGATCTAAGATGAAAGATGGGATACAAGCAGAAATCCTAGACCATTCTGTCACCAACACTCCACCCAGGGGAAAACTAAACACAAGAGAGATGGCTTTAGGCTCTCCCAAGTCAACTTTACCACTGAATTCCAGAAACAAAAGAAATACTAAGAGGTCACCTGGTTGCTGAGCCTGAGATCAACTTCTAAGTCTGGCTGTGCCGATTCTGAACTTAGTGCCAGAGTAGCTTGGCTTAACTGTGCTCTTGATCCTTTTGACTCTACACTTAAAAGGAAAGATTGCCCTGCTGAGCTGTTGTTTTGTGATTGTCCACATCTGAAGCATTTAACAGATCACGTCCGGCCTAGAGCTCAGACTCTCTGGTAGGGCATGAAGAAGCAAGCTGGGGAGAAAGCACCTTCCAATACAAAGGATGTCAAGCTACTTCCAAGAAAGGCCTCAAGATACTAGGGTGTCTCACAGAATGGCTGGGGTCACCTTAGAGAAGAAAGGCTTACTAAAGAGGCCCATATCTCCTGTTCTACTTGCCCAGTGTTGTTTCTGTTCCAGGACCCCAAACCAGTTCAGTTATGGCCTACAAAACAAAATCAGGACATAGTAGAATTTGAAAAAGGTAGAGCCTGGAACAAAAAACTATGGCTCTAAGCCATGGCATGAGAGACTCAGGAGAGAGGCATGGTGAATTCTTTCAGGAGCCTTTTTAAAAAAAAAATGGGAGTACTGTCGGGACTAGGGAGAGCAACACAGATTCAAAGCACAGATGGTCACTATCTTTGAGTAGGACACCACTATTTCAAACTCTGTCAGGCAAGAGATTAGGTAGGCAACACCCATCCTTCATGGACCCATAATTTGCCTCTTTGGGTTGCTGGTTATTCACAGTCCCCACATTTGGCTAATTCTAGTCCATTCCAGTTTTGTTTTGTTGGCCATGACTAAACTGGGAAGAAACTCAATCCCCTATAATAGTGGGACATTTCATTCTTCGCATCTGTGGGTCAGACTCTGACCACTCCAGGAAGATGAGAACTATTCCCAGAGACAGCCTGACTTGACCCTTCTTACTCCCTGGTAATAATAGATTCTCCTTGTTAGTAGCCTAAGTCCCCTCAGATTATTACTATTTGGATAAGAAATCTGCTGGTTGGGCTGAAAGGGTATTGTCGCTGTTGTTGTTAAGTGCTGTCAAGTACAACACATAGTGACCTCATAAATATAGATCTGAAATCTGTCCTATCCATAAATACAGATCTGAGCTCTGTCCTAACCATTCTCATCATCCCCAACAGATTTGAGTCCAATATTTCAGACATTGCATTACTCTATCTCATTGACGGCCTTCTACTCCTTCACTGACCCTCCACCTTTCCAAGCATGATATCTTTTTTCAAGGAATAGCCTCTCCTAGCAAAATGTTACAAATATGTAAGGTGAAGTTTCCTCAACTTTGCCTCCAAGGAGCATTCTTGTTGCAATTTCTCCAACACATATATGTTTGTTATTTTGGCAGTCCATGAAATATTCTGTACTCCTCTCCAGTCCCACAACTCAAAGGCATCAATTCTTCTGTAATCTTTATTCATTGTCCAGATGAGTGTCCAGTGACTGGGGAAACAGTGGCCTGAATCAGGGGCACCTTGGTCTTTAGACCGACATTTACTCCTCTCCAGGACTTTGGAGAGATCGCTGACAGCAGACTTTCCTAATATTCTTTGCCATCATTCTTCACCAGGGAGCAGTAGCTCCTAGACACAAAGCGGTGGCCCAGACAGCCAGAGCTCCATCTCTTTGCCAGGGAACAGCAGTCCCCAGATGCAAACCAGGCTTTGCCAAGGAGTACCCAGACAAAGGATGGGAGTGTGGGAGCCTAAACCATCTTGGCGGGAGAAGTCAGTAGTCTCAGCCAGTCTCTGTTAGTATTAGGTGTACAGTATTTATTAACCAAGCTCTGGTGGCCTACTGGCAAGAAGCTGCACTGCAATCACGAAGGCACACGGTTCGAGGCCACCAGCTGCTCCTCGGGAGAAGGATGGGCGATCTCCTCCAATGCGATTAACTGCCTCTGCCAGGCTCTGCTAGTATTAGGTGTACAGCATTTATTAACCAGTTTACTTTATTTTGTTTAGGGTGGGGCTGATCATGGAAGGGTTGGAGGGAAGGACTTACATGGTGACTCTTACTTTATAATTTGTGTATGAGAAGGTATAACTGACAGCAAAGCCATCTGGCCCAGCTAGACTATGTTCCTATCTGCTCCAGCAACCCTTTGTGGCCAAGATTGTGTAACTTAATCTTTGGGTTCCACCGGGATATTCTGCCGGGGGCTGATCAAATCACCCCCTTCAAATACCACCCCAGTCTTAGCACTGTCTTAACAATTTAGGGAGGCAGCCAATCCAACCTATGCCTGTGGGAGGGACTCTCCTCTGACCAAAACCTCTAACTGATGAGCCAGAGGAGGTGTCGGCAACCAGATCTAAGAAGGAAGGCCCTGGCCAGCAGGATAAGAAAGAACTGTAGACATCCTTCTGGTAGACTCAATGCTGTCTCAAAGTGTGACCTGATTATGCGAGCATGCTCGGTCATCCCGAGGCCTCCCTTTCCAGGGTACCCAACCCGGAGGGGTGTGGGGAGGGATGGGTATCATGTGGAAGGGATCTGAGTTTCATGACAACGCAGGAGGCCAGAATCTGCAGCCCAGAGCTCTCCAGCATGCTCCAGGAGGCTGGCCCTGAGCGGACAGGGGAAACGGAAACACCTGGAGAGGGAAGAGTTAAGTGCTTCTTATTCCCTAGACAACAGTGCTTACCCTCTTCAAATAGCTAAAGACTGTTTTGCTTGGTGCAGGTTTTCCCAATAAATCCAGGACCCGCGGTGATTTACCAAGAGCCTTGGTTATTGGCAACAGCAATCTCACTTACCCAGAGCAGAGCTGAGAACAAGCTGTAATTTAGAGCTGGATTTATATTGTTTGTTCTACAGCAACAAACTCAGCAAATCATAAATTCCCTCTGAGATGAAGAGTGGAGACTGACAATATTTATGAACTGAAGAGGCGGAGAAGGGCCGGACCAGGCCTTTGATTTGTAACTGAAACTTCTCCTGGAGGCCCCAGCCAAGGACATAGACGCTGTCCAAGACTCACAGAACTCAGCTCAGGCGCGAAAGTGGGGGCAGAGAGGGCTGAGCAGGCGTGCCAGCAGAGGCTTCCAGCCCCACCAGGAGGATGGTCTACAGACGCTCAAGGACAACATGGTTTCTGTGCTCACTGGGACACACAGCAGCAAGCAAAGGTGATCTCAGAGCTTTAACTTTCTCATAGTAATGCAAAAATTACTTATAAAGCCTTAGTGGTAAAGAATTGCACTGCTAACCCAAAGGCACACAGTTCGAATCCACCAGCTGCTCCTCAGGAGAAAGATGGGTAATCTCCTCCCTTGTGGTTTACTGCCTCTGAAAACAGTTCAGGGCCAGCTCTGACTCGACTGTACACAATAGCAGACATAAATCCACTCATATCTTACTTTCTCAACACATGTTCTCCTCACCCTGTCCCTGTGACATTTTGAAATTTTGTTCAGTCTCTGTACAGGATATACCAAAATTCAATCACCTTCCAAGTATTCACAAAGAGACTAGGGGAGCAAGAGTGCGCCAGGAATGCTAACTAGTTAGAGTCAGTGAGTCCAGCTATGACGCAGTACGACCACAGAGGGACTGCCAAGTTCTCTTCCACCGCTCCTACTTCATGTTTTCTTTCCTCCACCACCCTCCCTCCACCTTCCCCTCCCTCCCATCGGCGCAAACCCCCCACCCCAAATCTTGATCCCAAACAATCTTCCTAAAAGGCATTTTCTCATTCATTCCAAGTTCAGAAAGCCAATGGGACACTACCCTGACTCTGGCACCAGAAAGTTGAGGCAGCTCATCACCTAGACCCTCTACATGCCAGCCTCTCCTCTCCTCCCTCCCCTGCCCTCCCCTCCCCTCCCCTCTCCTCTCCTCTCCAGGATTTGGTCTCCCGTCTTGAAGACAGCCATTCTGATCCCACACAAGCTACCTCCACTGTTACCTTCACTACAATTAAGGACACGCTGCCAAGTTCTCCTCACGGCTTGCTCACAGTGGGTGCTCTGTATGTACTAGTTCCTCCTCTCGTGCCCTCACCCTCGGAGGTGAGCTCCTCAACATTGGAGGCGCTCTAGTGCAGGTGGGGTGAGTCCCATCAGTGAAGCAGGAGGAATCCCAGCCAGTTCAGACAGTCTTCACTTACTCTTCCTTCAGGGCCATCTGGCCTTGCCCAGCAAGTCATGCTCCTCATGTGAACCACGAGGCTAGACTAGATACTAACCATATTCCCGCCACATCTAACCACAAAGTTGGCACAGATGGAATGGCAGGAGAAAGCCTGTGCACAAAAGACCTCAAGGTCCCAGGCTGCCCACCTCTATACAACAATGGAGCCTGAGAACCAGCCAGAGCTCTGAACCACACAGCTGACTTCCAAGGCTGCAGGGCAGGTGTGGTGAGTGGGGAGCCCACAGCTGGCAGAGCCTGCTCAGGGCCGAAGCTGGAGGCTTACCCAGGTTCTCAATCATTGCGTCTAGCGCACTGGCAGCGGCGCTGTAAATCCCCGCGTTCTTGGAGTTGAGGTTGTCTGCAATGGCGATGATGATGGAGAGCAGCATGGGGTGTAAGTTCTCTTTGAGGAAGGGAATCATCTTGGCAAGAGACTCCAGTGCCCACTGGTTCACTTTCTTGTTAGAATCCTGAAGCCTTGGGGTGAAAGCATCAAAGACCTATTGAGGAAACAGAAACCAAGAGCCCATGGGAACCCCTGATGATAGGAGTCCTACAGAGCCTGTACCTTGGTGCTCACCCATCTACCCAACCACCCCAGCTGGGATTCCTCCTGCTTCCCTGCTAGGGGTCACCCTCCTGCACTAGAGCACCTCCAGCGATGAAAAGCTCACCTAAAAGGGAGAGGGCACGAGAGGAGGAACTAGCATGTACAGCACACCTGCGGTGAGCAACTTGCTAGGTCCTCTGCATGCTTTCTTTTTTTTTTTTATGTGAGTGTACCATCAAATCAGATCTGACTGGTACAGGAGGAGATTGTCCTTCCTTTTCCTGGCAGAGCATCTGGTGGATTCGAACTGTGTGCCTCTGGGATTGTAGTTGCAGCTCCTTGCCACTAGGCCACCAGAGCTCCCTGCATGCTTTCTTAACAATCAAATTGTTGTTCAAAGTGTTCAAGTCAAGACCGACCCATAGCTAACCCTCCAGTGGGTTTCCAGAGGCAGTAAATCACACAGGAGGAGATTGCCCATCTCTCTCCGGTGAAGCAGCTAGCAGATTAGAACCACATACCTTTAGCTTTGCAGTGGAATTCCTTACCACGAAGCCACCAGAAGCTCCACTACAACCAAAGAGGCATGTGTATCGTACTCACTCCACAAATTCAAATGTATCTATGACTGAGGCTCAAAGAAGCTAAATGACTTGCCTAGATCATGCAGTAAGGGAGAAGCTTGGGTCTTAGTCTAGGTCTGCCGACTTTGAGCCTACACCTTAACTCCTCCATATTGCTGGCTGCTTGGCAGCCTACCCCTAACCCACCTATGACCCCATCGTCTGCCAGACCACACATTGCTGGGTGCTGTCAAGTTAGAACCAACTCATGGCTGACCCTCCAGTGGGTTTTCAGAGGCGATAAATCGCACAGGAGGAGATTGCCCATATTTCTCTCTCAGAGCAGCCAATGGATTTGAACCATGTGACTTTGGAATAGCAGCACAACTTCGTACCACATGCTCTGCCCCATAAATGCACTTAAATAGCCCAGAGGCAGACCCAAGGCCTCAGTCATAGCATTTTGTAACTTTACCTTGCACCTGCCTCACCATAAATTTTCTAGAAGGATAAGCAGTTCCAATATGACTGGCAGGAAGAAACACCCTCGCCTCATATCACTTCCAGGTAGTCTTATTACTAATTACAAATGCCCACTGGGCCACAAGTGCTTATGGGGCACCCCCGTATACTGTTACAGTGGCCTAAGTTGCTCAGAGTTTTCGAGCTGAAGTTACCACCCCAGGAGAAACAGGAGTGGGAGCACAGGGCACGGCGCATTCTCACCTGGACCAGGTTGGGGGTGACGAGGTCCGGCTTGGTCTTGCAATACTCAAGCAGCTGCCCCACACCTTCCATCCGAGACTGGTAGTCCTTGGCCTCCAGCAGGCGCATCAGCTCCCGCAGCTGCTCCACCATCTCTACGCCACCCCGCGTGGAAGAGCGCAGCCCCAACAGCCGTGGGCCACTGAAGCTGAGCCTGTGGGGAAGAGTGTCTGGCTCAGCAGCCAAAGGGGATGGACACATTTCTTGTCCCATAACCCCTCCCACAGACATGCAGAACAGGGACGAAAGAGTCACCGCCAGCTTCCTCTTCCCCCAGTTTCACCTCCACTTGCTGCTTGGAGAACAATGACATTGGGAATCTCTTTTCCTCACAGACAACAACATGGTTGCACCCAGAGCCCTGCTGCTTGTCAGTGGACTAGACTATCTCTTCCTGCATTTCCTTCTTTCTGTTCAGAAGATGTGCGGGAAACGAGAGGAATAAAGCTTGGAGTGAGCATGTGGGAATTCCCGAAAGAATGACTGATGCACATTCAATCTTAAGAGTGGGGAAAGATCTTGCAAGTCAACCTTCTGTTCAAAATTTAAACCCCGTTTGTCCAGTTTCTGCTAGCACTCCTCCAGCACTGAGGAAATGTTAGGAATCCTGCTTCCTGCACCAGAACCACATCCCTATCACATTCCCTTGCCCAATTCAGCCAGCATGAAAACAGCTCTATTCAGAACTCCTATTCACTCACCTCCAAACCCAAACCAAGGTCTTTGGGCTCACGCCCTGTACACGACCCACCCAGCTCAACACAATTCATTCTGTCCCTCATTTCTGTACTCCAATCTGTCTACTGAAGCCAGAGGCTGTGCTGGGCACTAAGAATAATGAGATGAGGGGCATGTTCTTTGCCCTTGAAGAGTCACAGACCACATGGGGACAGGTACGGCAAGAGATGGCAGGAGAAGAATGGTGGTCATCTAGCCCAACCTGAGGTCATAAGGACATAAACAAAACTTCCAGGAGAAGTGACAGGTGAACTGAACTGTGTAGATTAAACAGGCATGTTCCAGATAGAGCAGGTACCAGGCAATGGAACCACATAAGCAAAGGAGCATGGGAGCTCTGGTGGCCTAGTGGTAAGAAGCTGCGCTGCAATCCCAAAGGCACGTGGTTCAAGGCCGCCAGTTGCTCTGTGGGAGAAGGATGGGCACTCTCCTCCCATGCGATTAACTACCTCTGAAAACCCGCTGGAGGGTCAGCTATGCGTCATTTCTGACTCTACGGTACACAATAAGAAGCAAAGGTGCAGCCTGGATGAGTGAGAAGGGCAGGAAGCTACACTTGCAGAGGTGGGTGGAGACCCCTTATGTCCCACCAGCCACTGCAGAGAAGTCTGAAGCAACTCCTCCGCAACTGCTTTTGTCTCAGCTCTACTTCTAGATTAGTCCTAGATGACCACTGTCTGATGGTCACAGGAGCTGTCAATCTAACTGAATGGAGAGACATAGCTCGCTCAAGAGACTTGAACCAAAACTGCATCCCACACACACACACACACACACGCTGTGCTAGCGCCATTGCGCCACTCAGTCAGCACTGCAGCCGCCAGTTTCTTCTGGAAAGTTCCCCTGAGTCCAGATCTCGTCTCATCAAGACATGGGTTGGGTTTGTAAATTTTCACCCAAATCACAATAAAATATTTTTTTCATTAATACAATTTTTAAAAATACTTGCAGTAGGAGAAACAGTCCATAAATGCATCCATCAGTGCTGCTGAGCCAACTAGGGAGCCTCCCCAGGGCCACTCTTGGCCAGAGACAAAAGGGCCCCATGGACCAGCGCTCTCACACGTGGAGCCCCAGAGAGACAAGAGTATCCATACCCCTCGGCAGGCAGCCCGTTCTCACACACCACCAGGCTCCTCGACACCTTGCGGCCTTTGGCAGATGGAAGTTCATCAGAATCTTCTGGTCCCTTGAAAAATACGCACAGAACGTGAGCCAGAAAGAGTGACCCCTGGGAAAGTGTCAGACTGCCCAGGACAGGTGAGAGCTTTAGAGGTGTCATGTGACACTGCCAGAGCCCCAGAGGTAGTGAGGGCAGAGATCACGGTCCCCAGGTAACAGGTGAGGACGTGGGACGCAAGAGGGCTCAGGGAACACGGGCAGTGGAAATAGGACATGTTCTGGTGAGCCCTGGGGAAAGAAACCCCATTTTCCCGCCTGTTGGGAGCAGCAGAAGGAAGTCTAGTCTGTCTCATGGATCCACATCCCATTCCCTTGACCATGTGAGGGCTGCCCCACCTCAGCTTCGTTCTCCATGTGAGAGCACAGAACCCAGATCCCACTGTGTGGCGCTCACCCGCTGCTTGATGGCTGCCATGACCTTCCGCAGGTCGTGGGATGGCAGAGACTGCTTCAGAAAGGCATCAAATTTGGAGTTGGACATCAAGATATTCACCATCTTTCGGCCATAAAACCTGCCAGGAAGAAGGCAGAAGATGGAGAGACAGTCACAGAAATGCATCATAACTGCTTTCCCTATTTTTCTCTAATTATAGTAACAATTCTTTTTTTTTTCTTTCTTTCTTATCTACCATCAAATCGGATCTGACTGGCCCAGGAGGAGATCGCCCCTCTTTCTCCAGCAGAGCATCTGGTGGATTCGAACAGCTCACATTCAGGATTGCAGTGCAGCTTCTTGCCACTAGGTCCCCAGAGCTCCCAAGTAACAGAGTTCTTAATGTTGTTGTTGTTGTTACATGCCATCGAGTCGCTTGCGACTCATAGCGACCCTATGTACGACAGCCCTAAACAGTGCTCTATCCTGTGCCAATCGCACTCTGACACTCCCATCCCAATTACCCCAGTCACTGAATCAATCCACCTCATAGAGGGCCTTCCTCTCCTGCGCCGTCCCTCCACCCTCCCCAGCATGATGTCCTTCTAATTGTGGAAACTAAACTAACCACTAAAAGCGAGCTCTGGTGGCTGCTCCATAAGGAGCTGTGCTGCTAACTCAAAGGCACAGGCTTCCTGGTGCTTTGCATTCTTCAGCGGCTCCGTCGGACAAAGAAGGGCAGCCTCCTCATTCGATTCATTGCCTCAAAACCTGATGGAGGGGCAGCTATGAGTCTGATCTGAGAAGACAGAAGTAAGGTGGTGGTGGTGGTGGTTGTGTACCACTGAGTGAGTAACCGACCCATAGCTGGCCCTCCAGCGGGCTTGCAAAGGCAGATTTTCGCACAGGAGGAGATTTTCCATCCTTCTTCCACAGAGTAGCTGGTGGATTCTAACTGTTCTCTCAGGATTGCAATGCAGCACAATCAGCGCCACCAGCGCTCCTAGAAGTAAGTTTTTTGAGTATTCCCTTTTTTTAAAAAAAAGTAAAAGAATAAACAGAAGCTATGATCCACTAGCAAGACAAAATCACTAATTTTTACAAATTTTTTAGTCTCTTTTCTGTACATATAAAAGTTCAGATGACATCAGAACTTATACACAATTTGTATCCTGCTTTTCCAAAACCCCATCCTCTCCTTTATCATTAATCATCTTCCTGTGTCATTTAAAACTCTCCCTAAACACTCTTGTATTGGCTGCACAATATTCTATTGGCTATAGAACAAGTTATTGTTGTTGTTGCTGCTGCTATGAGCTACTGAATCAGAACTGACTCACAACTAACCCTCCAGCAGACTTTTCAGAGGCTGTAAATTGGATGAGAGGAGATTGCCCATCTCTTTTCCAAGGAGCAGGTGATGGAGTCAAACCGTGGGACTTTGGGTTGGTAGCATATTAAACCTTTTTATAGTATGGGACATTTAGAAGTCTAAGGACATAATAAGGCAGATTCTTAGGAAATAATCAACTCTAACAGTGAAGGGTGGTGGAAGAAGAGATCAACAGGGATTTCAGAAAAGCGGTGATTCTTGAGTTGGATTCGAAAGATGAGTAGATGTGAGGACTGGGACATGAGTGAGAGGAGTGGAGTCATTCCAGGATGGCTACCAGCACCTGTCAATCAATCAGCAGGCCTGGAGAATTTGGACAGGGCTGGACATAGGATGTCATAGGCTGGAGAAGAAGGCAGGCCCCAGCCCAAGGAGGCCTCAAGAGGGGGGGCTTCAGTCTGCAGGCAATTGTTGTTGTTGTTGTTGTTATGTGCCATCGAGTCGTTTCCGACTCATAGCAACCCTATGCACAACA